TTATGTATTTAATTTATTTAAGTATTTTACTTTATTTAATATTTTGCTAATATAAATTTTTTGCAGATATATAATGGAAGGCGGTCTACTTCGCTTAGATGGAAATCATATATCTCGACACTTTGATGATACGGTAACATTTTAACGTTTTAATTTAATTTAAATTATTAGTATAATTTGTTGATTTATTTAATGCATGATTATTATATTAAGAATTAATTTTTGTAATTATTTATTTTTAGGAGAATGACCGTATATTAGATCCTTTTATTAGGAATATTAAGTTAGTGATACCTAGCCGTGTCTTTCCGTATTTAGTAAAGGCTGGATTTGGTTACATAGGTAGATATCAAGGTCATTGTAAGATAGAACCAGACCTTATTTATGCCTTAGTAGAGTGGTGGAGGTCGGAGACCCACACATTTCATCTTCCGTGCGGAGAGTGCACGATCACGCTTGAGGATGTTTCTATGCACCTGGGATAGCTTTCGGTTCTTGGACTACTTTGTGCCGGAAAAATCTAGGACGTGTCCCGGAAAGTTTTATCGGATGTAGGATACCGTTAAATTGGTTAGATGTCAATTTTCGGGAGTTGAGTGCATACGCCTCTGAGGATGAGGTTAAGATGTATGCATGGGCATGCATATTGCAATTGATATGAGGGTTGCTGATGCTGGACAAATCGCGCAACCTAGTTCACTGCATGTGGTTGCGACATCTTAGCGACTTTCGTCTCACTGGATCATTCAGTTGGAGCTCGGTAGTTTTGGCTTTGCTGTACAGGGAGATGTGTGGAGCCATTGACTACAGGCGTAATGCTATCGGCGGATGTCTCCTACTGCTACAGTCTTGGGCATGGTATCGATTGCCTTTTTTATGTCCCGTTGTGAAGAATCCATTCGTATTTCCACTACTTCTGAGGTAATTATAAAACTGGTTTTGTATATAATAATTTTACAACGTATAATAAATTTTCCTTGTATAGGTGGTCTACTGATAGAAAAAATCATCAGGAGCTACCTGATGATTTAGAAAAAATTAGGGTGCTAATCGATCAAAAGGCTGGCACACAGGTATGAATTTTAATGTTTAAAAATCGATTTTAGATTATAGTTATATAATTAGAATATTATTTTGATAAAAATTATATATTATTTATTTTAGTTTGAATGGGTGCCATATTCTACTGATGATGTGAGGGCGGTGATCCCACCTGAGTTGAGGGGTCCATAAGATGTTTGGATGGCGATGGTCCCTCTGATCTGTTATGCGACCGTCGAGTGACACTCCACTGATCGCGTGCTCCGACAGTTTGGTTGTTTTCAACCAATTCCGGATGCACCGCATAATATGGACGAGTTGCATAGCTTAGATAGACGCGACAAGACAGATACAGATTGGCTGGTGAGGTATCATGAGTGGGTTGTGTTGTGGGAGGATCAACATCGGCGCCTTCCCTATAGAGAGCCCATTTTTCTTGACCTCTTGAGTGTTGTTGAAGGTTATTATGAGTGGTTCAACAGTAACGGGAAACCGTTTCTGCTTCCCGAGGATGCACGAGGGCAGACATTTCCACGACGTCGACAGAGACGTGATCTGACACAGTACCATCATCCCCCGACACAGTTTCCATAGTCACCGAGATAAGGAATATCCACAAATTCTGGCACGTACATTGCACCATAATCAGCTTCATACATGTGTGTAGGAGGGTCAGTTTGTGCCACATTTCCTGGAACTTCATCATCATCGGAGTTGAATTGCGGTGATTCTGAGTGAATGAATAGTCCAGTCTCAGCACCATCCGCACCAGGTTCACGAAGCGGTTCTTCTAGTGGAGATGATGGTTCCTCCATGCTCTCCACATTTAGGTCGAATAGCATACTACTTGCACGCCTTCCCCTTGAACTGGAAGGCATATCGGCATTGAGATCAAAAAATCTCGCAGTCGAATGCCTCCCCCTGGAGCTTGAAGCCATCGTGTCAAATGGAAACTGCACAGATGGTTGCGTCGATGGCATCTCCATATGGTCAAAGAAATTTGCAGATGAATGTCTTCCCCTTAAACTGGACGCGGTGTTGGCATACGGATTGTTCGTGGACCCACCTCGATACATATCGTAAGGAGTTACGGATGAATGTATCCCCATTATGGCATTAAAATCATTACACATTACTGTAGTCAGGCTGTCAACTTGATCAACTTGTTCAGCAAGCCCATAGTGGGAGCTTAATGATTAACCCCGAACAGCACACACTTGAACAAAATGTGCATACATCTCAATAGCGGCGTCTGAATAATTACTTTGAGCTTCAACCATCATTTCAACATCATCATTGTTCGAAAGTTTGAACGTTGTATAAGTTAATGTCAACAATGATGTTGGAAATTTGTACTGCAACGACGACATTCTTTTACTACTTCCAACATGAATCTTCCTCGAAATCTTCGTTTTCAGCTCCTCAAGATTTATGTTTATCTTGAATGATATTTTAACACGCTCATTTGATACGAAAACAACGCCAGTTTCATCTTCTCGAATTTCACCATCATAATAAACAATAGCTGAAAGTCACGCCATTCTTTGAGTTTAAAAGTACGACAGTATTATATCTGCAAAAAAAAAATAACTGAAACAAACCTAATTAAATAAATTATATATGAACGAAAATATAACACAATAAATTTTTACACATCAACGTAAATAATTTAAATAATATAATTTTATATTATTACTTGCACCGTAAAACTATTTCGACGTATACTCTCGCTTTTTAATTTTACAAACATAAAAATTAATTGAAAATAATTAGTATAATATTTTTTCAAATAATCATAATAAATAATGAGTATAATAACAAAATTTATAATAAAATTATCTTATAACGAAAAATCGCACGAACTTCTAAACTAAATATGAGAAGATTGCCAAAATTATTGACTCGTTGACAGAATTATTGTAATAATTTATAAGTTGAGAGGAGAGATGTGAGGAACATAACCGGAAGAGAAGGGTATATATAGTCATACAAGGCGCGGTACCTGCACCGCGGTATATGTAATTATAGTATAGTGCGGATCAGGGTCCGCGTTAAATATAATTGTCTAGATACACAGATATAGCGCGGTTCAGGGGGTGCGCTATACCCCACGTGTAACCTAGTTAGCGTATAGCGCAGTGCAGGGGGCACATTATACCCCACGTGACGTCAAATCAGCGTATAGCGTGAGTCAGGGAGCACGCTTTACTGCTACGGGTGTTAAATCAAAAAATATAATATGACAGTTGTTAGATCGATAAATATACCGATCACCGGTGATATTTCGGAAAAACACCAAAAATATGAGATAAAAAAATATAAAAAATACTGACAACGACAACAATACTAAGACTAGGGTTGTCCTCTACCAACCAAAAGATGAGGAAAAAAAAGAACAAGTGGCGGGTTAGAAAAAAAAGGAACAAGTGGCGGGTTAGAAAAAAAGGACGGCGCGCTAGGGTTTATTTATTTATGGCAGATAATAAATCTATATCGATAAAAGTACTTTTAACAAGTGATTATTAATGTAATGGTAAACTAAATTATGTAAATTTATTGATCTTATATTTAATTGTCAAATGATATTTTTTAGTTTTATTTAAAGATTATATAAAATATAAAATATTTTATAATAATTATATATATATATATGATTATTTATATATTTATATTATTTATGTTTATTTTTTCTATATTTAATAAACAAATATACGTGCGAGTGTTGAAGCTAGCGTTGACTGGGCATGTGTACGTCTGGAAAGAAAGGAACAATAGGTTGTTTGGAGGCAAGGCTAGATTGATGGACGATATGCTGGAGGACATTCGAGATACCATCCGGATTCGTTTGGTTGGTTGGTCCTTCGGCAGATTGGACTCAAGGAATGCAACCCTTTATGTAAGTTGGGGAATATAGTGAGCATTGGTGTATCTTGCTTTTTGTTTTCTATAGACTTTGTATAGCTAGAGATTATCTGTTGTTAATGTATTAAACTGGGTTTTTAGCCGGCTTCTGTTTTTTTTTGGATAATAAAATGGATATCCAAAAAATAAACAAATATAATTAATCAATTTAATGAACATAAATTTTAAAGAATAATAATCTTGAAAGAAGTGAAACAAAATAAGATTTATTCAATGTATTATACGTTAACTTATAAATATGTTATCTGATAACTATCGTCATAGAAATAATATAAATATGCCAAAATCTATATAAAAGAGGGTAAATTTAACATTCATAAATTATAGTAGTAAATTTCTCAATATGTAGAACATAAAAATAAGCCGCTCTCCTATCCCCTCCCCCTTTTCTTTTCTTTTTTCTTCGAGGGTATATATTTTTTATAGATCATATCAATTTTTTCTTTGATTTTGTTTAAATAAATCGATTTTAATATTGGTTGTCAACCGTTGATTATCTTCTCTTTTAGTTTTTTTTTTTAAATATAAGAATAATTATACCTTTGTGAAACATTTATCGCTACATTTATAGCATGTTTTTCGCTGTCTTTGTGGCACATTTTTTTATCGTGAATAGTTTCCCTACTACGAACCCTCAGGTTGAATTTAGACACGATTTTGTGATCGTAGATAGTTTCTCATGAAACTCGACTCTAATTTGTGATTCTCAATAGTCTTTCAATAATTTTATCTCTCGTGGTTCGTTTATCAATATAATTAAATTTAATTGTACTTATTTTTTGTTCAAGTATTTTGATTGGATTTTTAACCTTTTCCATGTATGTCTTTTTATGATCTAAAGTGACTAGTTTTAATGTTATAAGAAAATGTCCAAATTATGTATTTAATTTACAATAATAGTTGTATACTCTTATTGTAATCTTGAATATTCTTTTAATAAGATTAGCAACTTCTATTAAAAAAATTATAGTAGTAAATTTTTCAATATGTAGAACATAAAAAATCTCTTTAACATAAAATGTTGATCTTGGATGGTATTAAATTTAAAAAAAACAACAACTCACATTCAAAATATTTCAATCGTCTGAATTTGAGTTCAGAAATTAGAAAACAACAAAGATGTTCAAACATTGTATCGGCCTTTCGCCGATCTTTCCTTTCTCGAGTCATCCTACAACAAATAATGCAACCGGTCACAATAAGAGAATATGCATTTGAAGTCGCAATTGAATAACACTTACATGGAAGCTATAAGTAATTTTATCGTTGACATCGATTATCTCCTTCCACTTCCTACCTATGCCCATCTAGAAAACAGGGTTCCAATTAACATCAACACATGCAATTCAGAAAAAGCATGGCATAATCGACAATTGGCTACCGAATTGTAATTCTGCAAATAATACATTACGTCCTATGCTGCTCAGACTGAATATGAATGTCGTATATGAACATATCCGATATAGGCATGCCAAATTCTTTAGCACAAAAGCTGTGACTGATTAAATGAGTATTTTTTTTCAGCAATGCATCAGCAAACAGAGGTAGAGTTAAACATGTCATTGTCGTGCTCATAAACATGAGCATAAATTTCATATGCATAAACCTAGAAGCAATATTTTGCAGCGATCAATCACTGAAGTTCTAAGTAGAACTTAGAAAAGTTTATGAGCATAAATATTCCCAACACATTTCAAAACCATTGATACTTGATACTTGGACGGTCTCACAATATTCCTATACCTGAGCAGCCTCGTTTGTTGATTTCTTGGTCCACAATGCAAGTTTGTTCTGCCTTTGACGTACACTAGCCACTACGCCACAAATCTCATCCGACTCATCAAATTGTTCCCCGATCAATGCCATCAACTGAAAAACAAAAGACAACGAGTGAACCAAAATCCCAATGCATGATTCACATCGCGGTAGCATTAGTCAGGCAAAAAGCACATACAGTTTCAAGCCACATAGTCTCAAGATTAGCCTTTCCATTGCTAATCACAGTCCACTTTCCACCATTAGCGCATTCGGGATCTTCCCATTTGGGTTCAACTCCAGCCTTGAACAAGTGGAAATCAGCATTTCCTGGGGGCAACTTGCTGGGCTTGAATATTTGATCATACAAACTGAAACATGAAAAAAGTATTTTCCAAACTCAAAATTCAACAATAAAAAAATAACAAAAACCAACTCAAGTTCCCTCGGAGCGAACCGGGAGAGATACCGATAAACTGAATCACAGAAAAAAATGGACAAGTTCAACAATATCTCACAAACATGAACAAAACATAGAAAAATAACTAAAACATGAATATGATGCGATATCCAATGATATGGTACAAATTCATCTCTCTCAAAACATACAAAATATATATAACAAAAGACATTATAGTATCAAAATTTATATAAATACAAACATGATGAATTTCACATCGAATGCTGCTAATAGCTAAGAATTCAGATACAATTATGACCTATAAATTTTCCATTTTAAACACAAAAACAAAATACCCTTTCTTTTTCAAAAGAAAACAAATCTCGAATAAATCAATAATTAATAAATTCAGATCAAACCAACCCATAAATCGAACAAGTCCTAATAAAAAAAACAGCTGAAAATCAACATATTTTTAAAATATAGATAGAAAGGAGAGATGGGTATTCGATAAAAGTACCACCAAAATTCTTCTACGGTGTCGAAGGTGTAAACTTTGCGTAAAGCAGAACCCCAAGCGGCACCTTGCTTAGGCTTTGATAGGTTATCGAACCAAAAGGTCCATTTTCTCTCAAGTTTATGCGGTTGTTTCTCTGCTCCAACCTCCTCCGGTACGGCGTTAACTTCCGCCGCCGCGCTTGCCATGCGTTTTTCTCTCCCCCTCTCTCTTCGTTTACTTTATTTAAGCTTCGTGAGGGTGGGCAAAAGGGAAGAAAAAAAAGAAGAGAGGAATTTCGGTTTTGAATCTTCTATTGTAGGTTTGGGTTTTGAACTGATTAACGGGCTTTTGTCCTTTATCCATAATTAAAAGGCTGATGAAAAAATAGATTGAAATCATAGAAAACATAATCATGTCATGTCGGTTTAGTCCATTTTCTTATTAATTTATAATGATTATAAAGTAATATATGTTTAGATAAGAATTATTTGACAATAAAGATAAAATTATTTATTCGTATAAAGATGATAATTTGGATTGTAACTATAATATTTTATCACAGATTTTGAGTAAACAAATAGATATTTTTGAAAATATAATTTGAATATATATTTATGTAGGCTTTACACATTTAAATTTAATTTAAAACTGTAAAATAAATAATATATTTATTTGTAAGAGAATTTAGATTAAAGTAATACAACTTTTTAGTTAATTAGTATTCGGATTTATGGTATAACGTTTGCAAATGGAGTTCGGTTTTGCCTTAAAATAAACTAACTCGAAATTAGATCAGAGTTAAAATTTTGCGAGTTATCAGTTTTTTTAAAACATACCCAATTATTCATCTTTTATTTATTCTATTTTTCATGTTTTTTTCTAATATTGTATTTATATTATTAATTAATGTACATGCCTTCAATTTAAAATATTTATATTTGTGCTCAAGGTTCATACTAGTTTAATTTTAATCGTTTAAATATCTCTTATAATAAATACATTTTGAAGAAAAAAACTTATTTGTAATTTTTTAATTTAATACCATTAGGTTGTTTATTTTATTGAATTAAAATAAAATTTCTTTTATTTCATGTCGTACTTTTATTTATCTCGAATTATCTTATATTGTATATAATTTATCATAATTAATCATTTAATGATATATTATAAGAAAATATTAAAACAATAACTATTCAATATAAAAATAAATTTATTATAATTAATGGCAAAACTCAGCATAAAGTAAATTCAATTTCAAACCCAAAATCAAATATAAAAAGTAATCCAAAAGGAATTACGAAAAATAAAAAAACTATAGATATTACAAAGAATAATCAGATCCAAAGACAACAAAATCTTTTACAACTTCGATTCCTAAACAATAGCATTGGCTGCACTTGCAATCCTTGGCCATAGATCAGCACACTCCTTTCCAATTGGACCAGTTATGGCAGAACCTAAAATTACCAAGAACAAGATGTCAATTGTAATATCTAAATATAAGTCGGACACGAATGCCGAACATGAATATTTCGAGAAAAATGAACATAATAATTAAATTTTTGGACACCCGACCTTTCATTTCTCCTTTTGGGTTCACAATGACACCAGCATTGTCTGCAAATAAAACAAGATTTATGTTTATGAACATCAAAAACGAAACGAGCAATCAAAGGAAAAGCTCTAACGTGAACATTGATGACATGTAGAGCCCAAATGGAGCACATGCAGTCTTCAAAAACTTAATGCATCTGCAACGATGGACACATTCGGTTTTCCAGACTTGTAACAGTATAGACTATTGGACATTGGAGTAGATACCTGACTTATATCTGGTGATATAAACTTGCTTTCACTAATTAACAAGACTAAAATGTGTTCTAAACAAATGTAGGGACCAAATGGAGCACATGCAAGCTTCAAAACTTAACGCATCTGCAACGATGGACACAATCAATTTTCCAGACTTGTAACTGTATCAACCATTGAACATTGAAGAAGATACATGACTTATGCCTGGTAAATTTTTAGAAGCATTTTATTCCAAATGTCCCAACCTGGACAGGGATGATAACAATGGTTACCACCTGGTATTGGGTTAAGGTTGGCAAATCAATTTAGCTGGTTATGGGAGGTATGGAAAAAGCCTGAAAAAAAATCTCCACACTACATCACCAGCATCAAAACCATAATAGATTATAAAACAAGGCCGAATTAGAACAAACATATCAAATCACAAAAAAAGGAAGATATCAAATAAGAGGAATCCCTCTTCATAAAATAATCAACCATTTGTGTTCATTCCACCGCTCACAGAATGCAGGTTAATGTACATATCATGACACCTCTTAACAAACCCTGTTTTCAAAGTAAATTCTCCACACAACAGATCCAGCATAAAACCAAAGAAAATGGTTACAATAATCTATAAAACACAAGGCAGAACACAATAAAATGTATCGAATTGAGAAAAATGAGATCCCAAATGAGAGGAACCTCACTCGATAAATTATTCGACCATTTGTGTTCATTTTGCTGGTATCAGGAAGTATCAAATCATAGTAGGTGCAGGTTAATACACTTATCATGACACCGCTTAACCAGAAAAGCCATTATTCTTTAAAGAACCTCAACACACATAAAAGAGCAAAGAAAACTTAAACATCCAAAATTCCATAGTACAAAACAAAAACCAATAATCCAGTGAGAGCAACAAGAGAGATTTGTACCTTCAAAGTACATGTAAACACCATCCTTTCGGCGCCAGGCCTTGCGCTGCCTCACAATAACAGCGGGCAAGACCTTCTTCCTGAGATCGGGCTTCCCTTTCTTGACGGTGGCCATGACCATATCTCCGACACAAGCAGAGGGTAAGCGGTTAAGACGGCCTTTTATTCCCTTAACTGAGATGATATAAAGGTTCTTAGCACCAGTGTTATCGGCACAGTTCACTGTGGCTGCCACCGGCAAACCCAGTGACATTCTAAACTTGTTTCCAGCTGAACCTCCCCGCCCTAATCACAAAAAAAAAAACCAAATTTTCAGCAATAAAAATCCATAAAATAAACAAAACAAACAACTGAAAACAAGCGGAACATTAAAATAAATCATACAACGGATTCAAGAGAGAGATGGATACTGACCTCGCTTCGACATTTTTACGGCTGAAGCGAGACCTATTGCAAAAGGTAGGGTTTTTTTAGCATTATATAGACAGCGAATTAGGGTTTTTCCTTCAGGTTGTTCCCTTTGATTTGATAGTTGGAGGCGCTGATGATTTCTCCCCCTACAATTGGGCCTTGGCCCAACATTTCAGTTTAAAATTTTTAAAATTAAAAAATTAATTTGATATTGATCAAATTTAACTCTAAACTTAAATTTTAATAAATTATGTCCGATCAATTTTTTTATTTTTAACTTTATATAGTATATTAAAGTTTGAATTGATATTTTATTAATATTGTTGTAACATATAAGAGTGAGCTCAAATATTTAAGCATATAATAATATCATTCTATTTATAGGTTTATAGACTAGATATTGTATTGAATTTTTATTTATTTATTTGGTTCGAATATTACATTAATGTATTTGATCTAAATGAAATCATCAAATTGGTAGTGCAACTTTTTACGTAATTTTTTTTTTGAAAACAAGACAATGTATTTAAATGTTAATCACGTCAAGAATAATACCGTTGAATATACATTATGGAATATCGTCAACAAACCAAAGAAGACTGATCCTCGATAGAGTTCATTAAGCTATATTGTGGACAACTCGATCAGTCTCATGATTGACATAATGCACCTTAAAATGCGAGTCACCGTTCATGACTGCAAATCTTACGTACTGTCATGGCATGGTGAGAAGGTGACAACTAACATACACTTCGGACCGCGATCTTGCTACCTCGACGGCTTTACGATTTTCGGTCGGAAATCCGGACTTTGCGCATGGATGTATGCCACTGCAATTGAGAAAGACTGCAGGGCTGAGAGTGATGATTGAAAATGAATGAAATACAGACCATCATGAACATTGGCTATCCTCAACGTCGGAGAACCGTTCTTCGAGCCCTGAAGTTTTTCGAAGTCGAGGCAATGGTTACCACAATGATTACTTGGGTTGTATTATCTGTTGTTCGATATTTTCTAACATTGCAATTGAGGTTAAATCATGGTGACAATACCTGAACGAAAAAATAGAATAGCCTGCACGCATCGAATGTATCCGTTGAAGGCAAACTTGGTTCTTTATTTGATCTGGATTTAAGTACAGTCAACGGACAGCCCAAATCCCAGCCGGCACAGTCGCAATGTCCACCGGATCTCCATCTGTCGATAAGACTAGAGGGGCCACCATTTCTCATTCTTGGACCACCATGAATACCTGCAGGAACTAGAATATCCATACTTGTCGAGCAATCACCGGTATTCAGAGAACAAGCACATGGAACGGCGGCGCCCACGGTTTCAACATGTTGCTTAACACCCGTTTTCCGGAGAAACTTTAAGCCCCAACCCCCGACATCAGGCAGAGGATTTTTAGGCAAATGGTTCCTCACAACAATAGCAGCCAATTCAAGATTCGGTGGAAGTTCCTCCTCTGAGTGATTCTTCATATCGAGTGAATCGGAATTGTTGACTGTATCTTGGCATGGATCCCAAGAAGAATCCTCCATTATGGAAGCAGATGACCTCGTTCTTGGATTGGACGAATGACTGCTCCTGAATGCTTCCACCACCTTTTTCTGTAGACCAATATTCTTCTTGTGGTTATGGCTCGAAGTTTGAATCTCCGGATTCGAAGTTCCAATACCACTAAACAAGACAAACTCCGTCTCCTTGATTTTAGAACCTTGGGGACAGATCGAGAACGAACTCAATACCTTCATCTTACCGACAAGGTTCGACTCATTGTCACTAATCCCATGTTCCTTGTGACTACCCTTGCTTGAATGGAACGAGTACATACAGTCCGGACCATTACCCCGAGCTGATCCTTCCTTCCACATATTGGCTACATATACCTCCCTCTGATTATCCAAGGAGAAAACGAAATACGGTTTCCCACCCTTCCATGTGCATTGAAGCATTCCCCGAGAAATTGTTGAAGTAGAAGAAACGGACTGATCAGAATATGTTGAGTTAGTACTCAACTTGGAACTGAGCCTTTTATGTACAGTCTTGGATCTGTATTTACGATTTTCAGACACTGGTGTTTCACTTCCTAGCTTATGCGAGGAAAATTTACTGAAACCACCAGGAGAGCTCATGAAGTCATGACTTATCCTTCTTTTAACATTATTCGAACTTTGATCGACATTGAATGGACCAAATTTCTGTAACAATGGGCTCTTCAATATATTTGCCATACTCCGACTATCCCTTTTTGAACCTACGACCCATTGTTCCACAGGATGGATGACTACTCCAGCGGTCCCAACTGCCGGTGGACTGTCGAAAACAAAACTTCCAAATTCACAAGCATCTTCATCCCCTATTTTAGCTGAATTCAATGCACCGGATAAAATGTCCATTTTTACTGAGCTCAAGTTCACAGATATGTCACAATGAGCTGCTTTCGCCGCGTTGATACGAATCAATTCCAGGCAACATCGAAGGTATTTCTCATCTAGAGTAACCACATGCCTCGGAACCATATTGCCTAAGCTAAAAATACTCGGAAGGAACGAATCCTTTATAAGACTTTTTCCAGCTTGTAATCGTTTACCAACATTTACTATTAGAGCATGCTGTGGAGTTGCCCTTCTAGCCAGCTTTTTCGATTTTAATTCGGAATAATCAGTTCCATTCTCTCCCAATATATCCCTTTTTTCTCCCAAGTTCTGCAGTGACTCATCTTTACCCTCATCGTCTTTCCGACCATTACCAAATTCATCATCCATCTCCGGTCTCGGATCAAGTATATAGTGCCTAATGATGGGCAGGCCTCGTTACCATTTTCTGCCTCGAAAACTATATAACCCACAATTCGAACTCCAGAAGAAATCTGTAGAATAAGATGAAGAATTACATCACGATATAATCAAAGCAAAAGAAGCAAATACAAAAGGAAACAATGCAACAAAGCTATAACTCAAGTGCCAAAGAAAATCCAATGAAAACATCCGGAAAAATTGACAAAAAGGGAAGGGAATGATCTCTAGACACTGAAAAAGATACAAAGAAAGTATACATGTATACATATACATACATACTTACATACACATACATATATAAGGAAAACATACATTCTGAAACCTTCCAATCATCCCAGGAAAGCTAGCAGCCATTAAAGATCTTGAACAATGTATGTATGTATGTACGCATGCATATATGTATGCATGACATCCAAAGTAAGTGATTCCCCTGCATAACCAGACTCTTAGATTCTCATTGTCCTAATCAAGATAGCAAACTAAGTATTCTAGACTAGAAAGATACAAAGAAAAGTATATATGTTACACACACAAACATATACACATACATACATACATAAGGAAAACATACATTCTGAAACCTTCCAAGCATCCCAGGAAAGTTAATAGCCATTAAAGATATTGAACAATGTATGTATGTATGTATGACATGACATCCAAAGTAGGTGATTCCCCTTCATAACCAGACAACTAGCTTCCCATTTTCCTAGTTAGGACAGTAAAACAAGTATACTATAAGGGGGGGGGGGAACAGCTAATTCAGCCAAAATTACCTAAAATCTCTAAGGGAGAAAAGATCAAATTTTTTAAGAACAAAATGAGAGATTTTAATAAGTGAAAGTTATCAACAAGAACATATGCTTCCCCTTGTCCTTTTTTACATTTATGCTCATGGTGTCTATAAATGACATAAAAACAAAGCGAAATTTAAACTAAAAGTAATTAATTAATTAACAATCATAATCAATATTTATTATACTTTCTTTTCGATGTCTGCGAACCATAATTATGGCCTACAATCAAATTTAAAAAGTTTGATTACATCAACATCAAGATCATGAGCAAATCGCAAACATACAACATAAAATAGCATTTAAACTAGAAATAAATACTTTCAGAACTATCCAAATAGTATAAAAATGGGGGTTTTGAAATTCAAAAGAAAATGAAACAGTTAAGCAGAAAGGGGAAAAACTCAACGTTTAGCACAAAGCTGGGAATCAATGGCTATCAAAATCAAAGTTAGAATAAAGAAGAAAGTTGCAAACTTTTATGCATAGAATAAGTAAAAAGCTGAACTTTTTTTGTTTCTCTTACCTCAAAGAAATGGATCCAAGAAACAAAGATCAACTACTCCAATCCAGAAGAGCTTAATCACCCATTAATCCCTGAGCTTAAAAGCTTCAACTTGCATACAGAAAAGGGGACAGCTTTACAGTTTGATAGAAAGAGAAAAAAGTAAGAAGGCAAACAATACAAGCTTCCAAGCACTGTATATATATATTTGTGTTTGTGTGTATAAATATATATATTGACTTTGTTAATAGTAAAAGTTGGTAAGTTGTAAACTGTTTTAAGGCACTAATCAAGGTTTCATCTTTTTGCTTAAGAAAGATATAAAAATGGTGGGATTATAAGAAAAGGGAGAGGAAGGCAGGATATGAACAGAAATCCACTAAGGCCAAAATAGAGTCACTTACATCAACTGAAATGGACTTTCTTGTTTTAATTTTAATTTTAGGGTAAATTACATGCTTACTAGTTAAACTTTACTTTCTCTCATATATCACTCACCGTACTTTCAATTTTTTTTTCAATTTGCTCACTAAACTTTGGACATTGAACTTTTTGGGTCACTCGACCGTTTACTCAGTAACGGGGTGCTGACGTGGCTAATTTTAATAATAAAACATATAACATGTTTACTCACTGAACTTTACTCTCTCTCCTATTTCACTCACTGTACTTTTAATTTTTTCAATTTTAATTTAACGATCGTAAAAGTTAAATGTATAAAGTTTAGTGAACAAATTGAAAAAATCGAAAGTACGGTGAGTGAAATAAGATAGAGTAAAGTTTAATGAGTAAACGTGTAATTTACCCTTAATTTTATTTGGAACTTTAATTTTTTTTAAATTAAAATGTCTAATAATTCATGTGAAGGAGAGAGAAAGAGAGGCAAAGGAATAGTCTTGGTTTTGAAAAAAAATTGAGTCATGGCAGTGATCAAATCAAAGTTCATTCAGGATGGTACAATATTCTTTATGTATCAAGATTTTTAAATATAATTAATTTTTGGTAAAAAATTCTCTTTAGGTCCCTTTTAATTTTAAAATTAAGCAAGTTAGTCCCTAATTAAAAAGAGAGTAGTTAAATCCTTATCAATTTCAAAAGTTAACCTTTAAAGACCATTAATATTTTCCAAAGTTTACATATTTATGAGTAATATAATCATAACTTTAAGCCTTAATATTTGAACATTATTTCAATTTAGTCATGATTTTAAAAAAGTTAGCACATACATTTTATGTAAAGGTTGAGGGTTAAATTTGTTAGAATTGAGATCAAGATTACATAACGTACATATGTTCCTGATTAAATTTATTGAATTTTTTAAAATTAAGATTAAAATGAGATAATGTGTAAATGGTAAAAGTTAAATATATTATTATGTCAACCAGAAATTATATAAGATTTGCAGAAAATATTAACAAAATGGTTCATTGTCCTTAATTCACTTATTAACCGGCGCTAAATTGTTATTTTCTCAAAAGGACTAAATTATTTAATTTTAAAATTAAAAATAGTTCATAACATATTTAACCCATAGTTCTACCGATTAATTTTTTGAATTATGTTTAAGACTTCAAGTAGAATATATGCTGCTGCATCTTTTGCATGTTGATCTTCTTATTGTACCGTTTATAAGCTCTTTTAAGTTTATTTTATTTCATTTGTTGAACCCTAATTTGTTTGATTTTATTTTATTAACTTATTTTTTATCCACTATAACCGATTTTAGTGGAATATTCCAAAACATTGTCTCATTAGTCCCTTTGTCCTCCATTATTAAAATTAAAAAAAATTAATTTAATAATCATTATGTAGATAAAAATATGATTTATATATTTTAAAAAATTAGACAATATACATATTATAAAATATTAGAACTAATCTTGTTTGGATTATTTTTGAATAAACATGTAATCATATGATCTATTTAAAAGTTTTGGTTGCCAAGAAGTATGGAGTTCGAGCATCTGTATTTACAGAGGATGTGCTCATTGTCAATGACGAAAAAAAATTATAAACATATATTATTTTGTAATCATCATAAATTATTCAAAAAAATTATAGATTCAAACATGATTAGATATATATTACATTTTAATTTAATATTTTAAATAATTTGAATATTAAATTAAAAATAAATTTAAAATCAGATGTTGTCAATTTCATATTTAATTAATTCTTTTTTCATTTGAATTTATCCATTATAAATTTGTAAGTGGTTGATGGTCTCAATGCCGAAGTATAGCGTGAGTCCAAGTAGTGGGTCATGCTATATGAATTTTGTGTATAAAAAAGGTTGTTAGCTCCACTAATGGGACATTAGGTGCCATGTGACATGGACAACTGAAATCAAATTTCTCCTTCTAATGTTTTTAAACAAACAAATTTCATTATTTCATTTGGCCCAACTCCTTGACTTTTTATCTTTAGCTACCACACAATGAATGTTTCAAGATTTGAGTCGGATTTATTTTTATAATAAATTAAAAAAAAATTAAACACAACTACTTGGTTTTTAAAATAATATTAGAATGTAAGATATATATGCATTTTAAAGAATTTATTTAATGATCATAGATGAAAAAAATATTATACAAATAGTGTTTTACTGTTGTCATATAATTTTTTAATGAAAATAGGAGTTGTTATTTTTTTAAAATGAGAAAATATTTAAAACTATAATGAAGGTTTATAATCATATCAACTATGATAAGTTAAACATATAATTATGTTATATTCCTATAACCATTAACATGATAAACTAGTCACTTGATATCATAAAGGATTATACAAGGGAAAGATTAAAAACTCATTCAAAAACTCAAACAGAATATAGATACGAACAAATCTGAATTCATCAGTAAACAAACTATAATAGGAAATCAATCAATCTACTGAAAGATCGTCGAAAATCATAAATCAAAGTCGAACGTTGTGAAAAAATATCTCGAATACAAACCACATATTCAATCTAATCCAAGAGTCCAAAACAACAAAAATCATCAGGATAACAAATATGTGCTATTTTGATCATTCGATGCGACGTCAAATTAAATATTAAGAAAATTAAACGAAAAAAAAACCAAATGATCAATATAGAAGATAAAAAACATACTAAAAGATAGAAAAAATATATGTCATAAATATAAAATCGTTAAAAACTAAAAAAAATAGAGAAAATCGCCTCAGTGACCAAAAAAAAGTTATAATATACGATTTTAACCAACTTTTTTTGGATTTGCCAAAATGACCAACAAAATCGCAACGCGAAATAAAAATCGCAACGCGATCCCCAGAATCGCAAATCAGTTTCCAAAATCGCAACGCGATTCTTGAAAATCGCAATGCGATAGTACAAATTCGCATTGCGATTTTCCAAAATCGCAACGCGAACACATAAATCGCAACGTGTATCCGTATATCGCAACGCGTATCCGTAAATCGCAATGCGTATCCGTATATCGCAACGCGTATCTGTAAATCGCAACGATAATCCGTAAATCGCAACGAGAATCTGTAAATCGCAACGATAATCCGTAAATCGCAACGAGAATCTGTAAATCGCAACGATAATCCGTAAATCGCAACGAGAATCTGTAAATCACAACACTGAAATTTTGGGTATATAACACTGAAATCATAAACTAAATCCCTAAATCGCAACTCATTCCATCTCCATCTATCACTCTCTCCGGCGACATCTGTTCCTATATCCAACGACATCCTTCCCAATCCGGCAACAGGTTTTAGTTTCGCAGCTCGTCTGTTTAGTAAATTAATTTACAACCATGAAATCATCTAATGTTGATCATGTTTGGATAGATTTGTGTTTTGGAGGGTCATGGGATAATGTTCATGGTGTTTTACAATATATGCATTTACCCATGAATCTTCAACTAAAATTGTCTTTACAAAAGTTAACTTATGAAACTCTAATGCTACGTGTTTCAAATAATTGAATTTAGAGCCCCTAAGTGGATTTAGGCTATCTTATCAGAGAAATGGTAAAGTTTATTTGTTAACCGACAATGAAGATGTTGAACGATTCATTGCTTACATTAGTGTTTCACAAGATGATGTTACATTGTATGTTGTTGAACCTAGAAGTAGTATTGTTGGGTCAGTAGCGGGTAGTAATCAACTAAGTTTTTCTCAAAACCCACAACCTTTCTCTAATCCAAATCCCAATCAACTTTCAGCACCAAATTCCGGTTTTCGTATTGACCAGTTAGACGATGATGAGCCAACAGAAAAAATTGTGAGTACTAGTCAGTATTCGAAATTTGGTCTTGGTCAATATCCGGACTTTGATATTGGTCAATACACGGATTTTGATGATGTTTCAGAAGAAGAAACAGACCATGTGTGTAATGATTTTAATATTGGTCAATACCCGAATTTTGATGATGAAACACCCTTGCCGAGGAAGATGTTGTTGATGATAATGAGGAGGAAGTTACGACTGTGAATGAACATGTTGAACATCCATTCTGTAATTCATATAATCCTGAAGAAGAAAAAGAAGAAGAAAAGTCCCCGAAGAAAAGAAAATGCCACGGGAGTATAACTGGAATATGCCAGAATTACTTCAGTTACCGGAAGAAGAGTTGGCAAAGAAAGCAGTTGATTGTTACACAAAAGTTATTCGTGTCAAGAAAGATGATTGTTTTGATACAAAGGAAGACTTGAAGATAGCTTTGTATACGAAATGTGTGGAAGATGGCTATCAACTAAAAGTTAACAAATCAAGCAAAGATCGTTTCGAAACAAGGTGTATGATTGACAAAAACTGTACGTGGCGTATGATTGCAAAGAGAATAAAAGATTGCAAAATGTTTCAAGTTAGGACTTTTATTGATAAACATACATGTTCAAGAACCCAAGTTTTTCCTCACCATAGACAGGCAAACAAAAGGTGTTGGGTGGTTTTCTGGCTGAGTTAATGTTTTTGAATGGCAGGGTATATCGGGGACATGAAATTATGACTGACATGAATGCTCGGTTCAAGATTAGTATATCATATTCTCAAGCTTGGAGAGCCAAATGTTATGCCTTGGAATTGTTGAGGGGGTCGCCAGAAGCATCGTTTGCCCAACTACCGGCTTATTGTCACAATTTAAAGCTGAAAAATCCTGGGTCGGTAACTCATATCAAAACAGATAGAGATGGACGCTTTGAGTTGCTGTTTATCGCCATTGGTGCTACGGT